GGAATGGTCCTTTGCCTAACCCCTGAACCTCACCCATTTTGATAAGATCTAGTGGTAGTTGGATGCAGTGCTGCCTGTACCATGTCTCAAATCTGTGGGTCGAAGTCAACGGTTGTGGCCATCAAGTAATTGGGGGGAATCATTCAGGAAGCTATTAGGGGAAATGCATGCTGGGATTGTGCTTACATTAGGGGTGTTAGATGTGGAGTTTTGGACAGGAGTAGGAACTTGTAGTTGGAAGGTAGCTGTGGCCATTAGGCAATGAACCATGCTGTCAGGCAAACCCTTTCAATGTTGGGGTGTGCTATTTTTGCAATGTTGGAATGTAGTATTTTTGAGGGAGATTAGCTGCCTGAAGTCAAATCATGACCACATCAACTGAGGCTCTGGAATCAAAATCAACATGATGGCATGCCATTGCAATTTGTTGTTTTGAGAGCTGAATTCCCTCTGTGAGGAAGACTCTGGCTAGCTCCCATTGTTGACTGGGGAAAAAAGCCGCCAGAGCCTCAATTTTCGGCCACAAGACGGCCTGGTACTTCCCAATCATAGCTTTGTGGTTCAAAATGCAGAGGCCCATGCCCATCACAGAGTTTATCTGTCATGTCATCATGTCTAAGCAGCAACCCTCTCTGTCGGTTGGTGCCTAATGCTCCCTCTGTGGTCATCCTTGGGTGGATACAACAATGATGGAATTCAGGCATACATGGTGAAAAAGTTAGAGAATCTCTCTCCCCTTTACCCAGCACATCCCTTCCAGTTGGCAAAAGGTGGGATGTGGCTGGTTAGGAAGTTCCCAGGGTTCTTTCATTGCCTTGGACAACATAGGATTGAACAGTACTGCTACCAGGATCAAGTCCTCTGTCCTGATCATGTTGTACATAAGGCCTCGGTCAGGCTCCGTAGCTTGCTGGATGTGAATGCCTAGAGATGTGGCCATCCGGAGGACTTGTCCAGAGAAATGTCCAAGGCTTTTCCTTGGGGATTCCCAGGCTTTGGGATCAGATGATGTTGTCCAGGGATGTTGAGACAGGTTCTGTGGATTCTGCATGCAACTGTGAGCCAGCGTCATAATCCATTGGATCTGATGAAGAGGATCCAGTTGACAGAGGCGGCCATCTTTGAGCACTCCCAGGCTGTTGCTGAATAGAGGTGCCTGGCTCTGCTTCAGGACGTTGAAGCTATCTTGGTGGGGACTTATGCTTCATCGGTCTTGTTGGAGGTGGTGGCCAAGTGTAATTGCAGGGGTCAGCAGCATGTTCCCATCCGTATCCCAGAAGGTACTGGCCTGGGAATGGATATGTTCCCCAGTATGGGTTCCCCCTATATAACTGCTGTAAGTTTGAAGCAGCACACAGAGTGGTGAAGAGACATAAGTGATGGGTTGGACTAGGTTGGACAGGGTGTGTGAGGCACTGGCTCAATGCTGGTTGCACGATGTGGCTTGTGCACCAATCTACTGGAGGACGTTGGAATGGCAGGCGACCAGATTGGTGAATTGTGAATCTCCCCTACAGAGAATGATGTTGGCGCCACCTGGTTGGATTGGACCCAGGTGTGGTCCGATCAAGCCAGAGTAAATGGGGGACAGGAAGGAGAGACTCAAGCTGGTAGAATGGCTGGAGTGAAGGAGATGGTTGGAGCGGTTGGGTGGTTTGGTGAGCTCCGACCCTTGGAGCAGGCAGGGGAGCAGTGTTGCACACTTTTCAAGTGCTTAGGCTTTCAAGCCTTTTTAGTCTGCATATGGCCCTCAGACCTGAGGTGTTTTCTCCTTATGCTTCTTAGACCTATCAGAGGTAGTCAATGGTTTCAGAGCCACAAAGGATGGCTTTGGCTTATCCATTTGAAGTTGGCCTTCACTCTCACTAACAGCACCGTCTTTCATGATGCCCAGAGCACACTCCCACATCTCCATCCTGAGACGACAAGCCCTGTTTTTATGGGCCTGCTTGGTGAAGGCCTGGTGGAAAGCATCTTAATGCCGCATTTGGCACACTTATGAAATGCCAATTTGAATACCATTGGGGAGGAAAAAAGGAAGACATGATGTAAGGGTATGAGAAAAAGATGATTGAAGGAGGTTTCTTTGTGAGGGACAGAAGCAGAGAAGGGCGGGGGGTCAAAAAAGGAGGCAAGTAAACCTAAGCGAAAAGATTGAAAAAGGTGATCAGATCAAGAAGGCAGTAAGAAATACAAGAAAAGTTTTGTGAGGAAAAGACTGAGGTAATCTTATAGCTAGAGATCCTGAGGCACTGCAAATGGTGGTCAAAAGTGAACTGAGAAAATGTCAGGAGCCTAGGTATTTATATAATGGGGGGGCTCCTTCCAAAAATTCTAGGCTTAGCTAGAGGAAATTTTCCAAATGTGGCACTGCATAGGCGCAGCACCCACACATATGATGCATAGAGACCACAACAAAGAACATATGTAGGAATCAAATGCTATACAATGAATGTTTTCCATCCCGTCCTCCTGTGTCCTGCCATCATTCAAAATGTCCCAAATCAGACTGTGCTACTCTGTGAACTCCCTATCTTAGGTTCAAACCACAACTTTATTTCTCCAGATTTATTTTATTTTCTCTTTGCTTATGTTTGTTGCTTACAACTGAATGGAGACAAATTCTTGTTCAATGAAATGCTATTAAACTGCATTAGCTTTTTGTGCCCCTGAATTGCACTAGTAACTTACATTCAAGAAGTGCTGATGCTGAGCCAGCTGTCTTCCATCTTACACTTCTGTAGTGGATTCCTTCATATGTGGAACACAGTTAAGTTTATTCAATTAAATACTTTACCATCACTAACAAGACAGATATCTCTACTGAATAAAAGTTTTTCAAGACATACAAAAGGTAGTCAGGACAGCCAGACCTGAGGCTTGAGTAATTTGAAAGAGCCCAAAAGAACTTATTTTAAAAGTTGGTATTCATTATTATAATGTCTTGTTTCAAACAGACTCATAACAGAAACAAGTAAAAAGATGCAAGACATTTTGTACATAAATATAAACTGTCAAATATAAAGCTTCCTACTAGGTGAACATTCAAAACTGAAAATTATTAATTATTATGGTCACTATATATAGTTGCTATTTTTAGTTTTGGTAACACTTTAGAAGTCACTAAAGAACATCTACAGTAAAACCTTAGATTGCGAGCATAATTCATTTCGGAAACACGCTTGTAATCCAAAGCACTTGTATATCAAAGCGAATTTCCCCATAAAGTTCAATGTAAATAAGGTTAATTCATTCTGTAACTTTTTTTTTAAAATCACAAAAATTTGAAGCAGGCGCGCTCGGGGGGCGGGGAGGCGGGTGCAATCGCGGGCATGCTCAGGCAGAGGTGGGCATGATCGCAGGTGCCCTTGGTGGGGGAGATGATGCTGTACTCACACCCGCAGCGAGAGAGAGAAGAACTGGCACTCAGTTGTGATGTGATGCTCGGCAGGCAAAGTGTGCATAATACTCATAACTGCAAGACACTGCTTGTTTATCAAGTTAAAATTTAGAAAAAAAAATTTGCTCGTCTTGCAAAACACTCGCAGCCCAAGTTACTTGCAATCCAAGGTTTTACTGTACTTTAAATGTTGTTGCAGAAAAATAATACAACTTGCTGAAGATTAAGCAGCTTCATGGTTTTCAAAATAAGGCTTACATGTTTATAGTATTTGATAGCAGCTTTTTATTGGTTATAAAACCTAAGCCCATATACAAAATTAGGAACACATTTAGATGCCTCTTTTGAAAGAACAATTTGATCTATTAACCAAGAGTTAAAAATAATGAACACAATGCAATTTCAAAACACTTCTGAAAACTTAAAAGTGCAGCAATATATTTCTGGCTTGGATACAAAGATCCCACTCCACTGTGTGACTGGAAGAAACTCTACATGGTGGGTGGAAAAGAATACTGCAAATTGTCCCCATCTGCAGCCCCCTAAAAGCTGCATTGGAGGGTTACCTGCCCCTCTAGTGCCATTTTGTGGGAGCTTTCAATGTGTGTGTGGGGAAATCAGCAATTCCCTCATGACAATTGTATGTCTTCTGCTCTTGCATTGCAGAATCTTTGGATCCAAGCATCCTTTTCCTGTATTAACTATAGAATGGTAGAATTCTAATTAAAAGTTAATAAGGTGACAGAGGTCTATAAAAATGCAAGTTACTGCTATAAATCAATTTTCCTATGTTCATTTCTAATGATGCACTGAGTGCGAGAAAAAAATTCAAGTCACTAACGAAAAATAATTCATCTTTTTGTAGTATCTAGGACAGAGAACATAGGCATGTTTAAAAATTAGGGAGATTTGTTCACATTATCAACTGCATATCAGCTTTGAAATTCTAAAAACTGTGACCAAATCTTTATTCTTTTCCTAGCTTTTAGCAAAAACACCACAATCTCAGTATTTTAGACTATAATTATTATCAGGACACAACTACCAGATTAATTTAACGTCTGGGTAAAGAAAAAAGGCACAATGAACTTCAACTCAATTTTATGTGCACAAGAGTTGAAAAGTCTGAGCCACCTTAAAGAGAAATTGTTTTTAAAATTTATAAAACTTATAAATAGAGGCCAAACCACTGTATTAAAACAGATAATCTAGCAAGTAAAAATCTTGCTGTTTAAAATATTTACTTGTATCTCTCAAGATACAAGACAACTCACTCTTTAAAGTGGCTCCACCTTAGCAGATATATTTAATGAATGAACACCTGCAATGTCTTGCTCATTAGTGGAAAAACAGCTGATCAACAAAGCCTTGATGGCATCAGTCCTCATCTTCATCACAGTAAATACAACCCACATCCAATAACTACATTAGTTTTATGTTTTTGTGACCTTTCACATCAAGGCATTGGGATAATACATCCAGTGAACAACAGTAACAATATCAGTTTGTCTGACAGCTTACATTGTTTCAATTTCATTTTCCCCCACAGCAACCCCAAGTTCTCTAAAAAACCAGGCTGAACAGTTTCCCATTACTTGCATGTTACCAGCTTATGTAAATATATTCTTTCTAAGCTGCACATTATGCTTATGGTGAATACTAGCAACTTCCATAAAGCCTCACACAACTAGTATGCATCTTAGCTATATAGGCGAATTATTCTTCCAATTATCCAAGAATGAAGCTATTATAATGCTTCTAAAATAGATGCTAGTTTGTTGCCAACCACATCATCATAAGCACTGGTAAGTAAAAAAAAATAGGTTTAAGGCTAAATTACAGTAAACATGAAAGCTCCACAGTTTAAAGCAATATAAATCAACATTCAGTCATAAATTTAAACCAAAATATATTGACTACTGAAAGATGAAAGCAAGATTCTTGTTAACCAATGATTATTTGGGATACTTTTGTTACTTTATTGTGGGACTCTTGCTTTCAACTTAAAACAGTGTTCAAGTCTATAACAGGTTGTAGCTCAGGTAAGATACCATGCACAGCATTTCATAATCTCAAAAACAGCAGCAACACATAGGCTGAAGAATGGTCAAGCACAGCTTGCTGTTCTCAAAAATTAAGTACAATGGTCATGTTTTACTTGTCCAAATAGTTCATTCTCCAAACCCAAACTTCTATGGCAGTAATTAACACAATTACCAATACATGTAGTCTGTTTTTAAACTAATTAATTACCAAGTTCTTTTATGATGTTTGTTTAAAATTTCAGTTTCACCAATGAAAATAATGCGACTTGCACTTTATTTATTTATTCTTCCACATTAAATATATGAAAATACATTTGTAAAGGATAATGGTTGAGGCTCGAAAAATATACCAGGCCTCTCAGAAGTCTTCCAAAATGTAAGCTTCATACTAAAGAGTCTTATTCCACAGTGCACTATTTTCCAAAGAAAGCTATTCTTCTGTGGAAAGCCAACGAGCCACCACAAAGACTGCAGTTGTAACCATGAGGCATTGGGGAAATAAAAACCAAAACTAAAACAGGAAAGGTAGTAGGGGCTGTTAAAAAATTCTTAATGGTTTATGAGATCATGCATATTCATTTATGGTCCACATGATAGTACTTTTGGCATCTGCAAAGTGACTGATATATGACTCGCTTTAGAAGCATCAGACAAAGAGGCATATGCTTGAAGGCTGTTTTTCCAGCTGTAGACATCTGGTGGTATATTTTACTGGTGTGGGATAGACAAGCTGCATTGTACTGAACTTAAAAATTAAATTCTTTTGTTTGAAGATTGGTTGCTGGATCAAAATTGTAAGTACCTCCTTGTGTTGCTTCAGGAATGAGGCTGGCGTCTTCATCAATCTACAAAGACAAAAACAGGCTTTCACTAGCTAAGTAGGCAGAGTGAATATCCTGTCCAGCATCAGCCAGATCCTCCAATTAATACACACAAATTAAATCCTGAAATCATGCTGAAGCTTCTCATGATATTTTCCCCCTGTTTTGCAAATTTGTGAGATATTGGGTGTGTGTGTGTGGAGGGGAGGCGGGGAGGGACCAGTTCTAGAGACTGGGCTAAGGAACAGAAGAAAAAGGAAGAAATAAGAACTCTCTGCTTCCTTTAAAGTCTTTTCTATCAATTACCTCCTCCTCTCACATGCAACATACTGGCAGTAAAGGTTATGCTGCTGCAGGATATGAAGTACTATTTCTTATCCTGCATATATTTTGTATGTGGGAGTACATATGGGCATATGTTTGTGTACCAGCACACATACTTATTCTTGCCTTGTTATTACAAAGTTGATCCTCTAGTCAGATGACCCTTTCCTACTACGAAGTGAATAGCAGTGTGCAATAATGGGCATGGGAGGGAGGTTTTCCAGTATTATTCATCATGCCTACAGGTCTAGCGATGCACCACTACATCTACGTGGAAGTTGGTGTATTTGTTCCATAGCATTACAAAGGCACTGTAATAGATTTTCCTCAAAATCTCCTTCTGGTGCAGCTGGTGTACCTGAGAGGGGATCAACCTCACAAGCAGCAACCATGGCCAGTAACTGCTGCTTTAACTTGGAACACATTTCTGTTTCACAGGTGCCATGCTGTGCCTTGTGTACTGTGTAACAGGATACCTAGTCAGAAGTGACACTGAATGTGTGCCCCAAATGGTTGGGAAAAAATGGTTTTATAGAGCATTTGACCTTAGTATATAACATTTGTGCACAACGCTTTCAAGAGCCACTTATTATGGCCTCATTCTTAACATTCAGTGGTACTTACATCATCACCAGAGAAATACTGATCTATTATTTCAAAAGCTAGCTTATAAATGTCTTCATTCTCATGTTGTTGCAATGCCTCTATTTTCTCTAGCCCTGGATGAAGAAATGCAAGAGAATAGAAAAGCAAAGTTAGTAACTTTTTAAAATATTAATGTTTTAAGACACTGGCTTGAGATGCATTAGCGTCAACTCCTTTAAGGACTAGCAATAGGAAAATGCAAAGCATATGACATGAAATCTACATATTTGGCTACATTTGTGTGGCTGAAGTAGGATATTCACAGGCTAAGGTACATGCATTCGATAACCTCCTGAATGAACAATATGAAGGCAGGTTGCTTATCTGTAACTGTCATTTTTCAAGTGGTCCTCTGTGCATTCACAGACATGGGATCTGTGCTTGTGTGGAGCCTGTTTCAGGAAGATTCTATAACTAAGCATTTGTTTGGGATCCTGTTCCTGTTCGACCATGGAAGGAGCTCTTGCCACTGAGACCACCTACAGGTCTCAGGACCAGGGGAGGGGTGTTGTGCTGCCCTGGTCCAGCCTCTGTGCCTCCTGCAAAGGGAGACAGTTGGCTGAGGCTCAGCATCAAGTGGGCCGATGCTGTGAATGCATAGGTGACCACTCAAAGAATGGTAGTTACAGGTAAGCAACCTGGCTTCCTTCTTCATGGTCTCTGTGCATCACACAGAGCCATCACCAAGACAATGGAGACAGAAATAGAACAATCAATCCAACTTTTCAGTGACAATCAATCCAACTTTAGAGATAAAAAGAACTATTACAATGATCAGTGTGAAGACATAGAAGAGATCTACAACAGGAAAAAAAAACCAGAGACCTTTTCTAGGCGATCCAAGAAATCAAAGGGACATTCAAACCTAGATTAGGGATGTCAAAAGACAAACATACTATCAGACCAAAAGAAAATAAAGAGAAGGTGGAAAGAATATACAGAAGAAATATACAGAAGAGATGAATGGATGACAGAGCTCTTTGAAGGGGAATCCTATGAAGAAGAGCCTGCCATATTAGAAAGTGAAGTGAAAGCTGCTCTGAAAGCTCTTGCAAAGAATACAGCACCTGGAATAGTTAGGATACCAATAGAACTATTCCAAACTGCAGAAAATGAATCAGTTCGAATCCTAAGAAAAATATGTTGGCAAATAGGGAAAACTGGAAGCATTGCTCACAGATTGGAAGCATTCAATATATACTCCAATCCCAAAGAAAGGAGATGCAAAAGAGTGCAACAACAATGCATTGATTTCCCATACAAGTGAATGCTCAAAGTGTTGCAACAAAGAACTTTAGCCTCAAGCAAGAAATGCCACTCCAAGCTGGATTCTGAAAAGGAAGCAGCACTAGAGAACATATTGCAAATATATGTTGCCTACTTTAACAACCAAAAATTTCAGAACAATATCTGTCTATGCTTTATAAACTACAGCAAAGCCTTCGACTGTGTGGATCATGAGAAGCTATGGACGGTCCTGAAAGAAACTGATGTGCCTGAGCACTTGATTGTCCTGATGCATAACCCATTATCACAGACAAGAAAGGACAGATATGACAGAATATGGTGAAACAGAATGGTTTTCCATAGGTAAAGGTGTCAGACAAAGAAGTATTTTATCCCCCTATCTGTTCAATCTGTATACAGAATATATATATAAAGGAAAACTGGGTTTGAATCAGAGGAAGGAGTGAAAAAGAAGGGCTTTCTTGGCAGTTGTTCTCCACTCTGGAACAGGCTGCCCAGAGAAGTTTGCCTGGGGCAAGCACTGTTAGCAATTTGGCACCAGGCAAAAGCTCACCCTTTTCCTGCTATTTTAACAATGGATTTTAATATTTTTTTTTTGGTTTTACATTGACCCCATTTTTGGTTTTGGTTGGTTTTAGTTTAGATTATTTTATTTAAGTTTTATATTTTAATTTTGATAAACTATGTTTTATATTTGGATTATGTTGTTAGTACATTTTGAATATGTTGATTTAATGCTATAGAGCTGTGCAGGGAGCCCAGATATGGGCTATTGTAGCGGCGTACAAATTAAAAAAATAAATAAATGGTGGAAAAACTTCATTAATTTAAGATAAGCAGTTGATACCCTATTGCTGGCAGAAAACAGCAACGAATGGAAACAACTGCTGATGAAAGTGAAAGAAGCACAAAAACATAACTGCAGTTGAATATTAAGAAAACAGAAACCATGTCCATGGAAGAATTTTAGAACTTTACTGTTAATAATGAAGAAAATGAAATTGTGAAAGATTTCACACACAATGGTCCATTCATCAATTCAAAGAGAGACTTCTGCCAAGAAATTTGAAGAAGAATGAGATCTGGAAGGGCAGCATACTATACTCTGGACAAATCATGGGAAGGCAAGACTCAGTGGAGAAGACAATCATGTTAGGGAAAGTCAAAGGCAGAAGATGAAAGGGAAGACAAACTGTATAAAGGAAGCCACAACCTTCAACTTGGGAAAACTTCCAGTTTGGAAGAGTATCTGTATGAAGTAAAGGATGTGTTTGACCATGGTGTCTCATGGGTAAAGTTTTTCTTGTTGACTGAAGGTGGAGAAGGCCTGCCAGAGTAGTGTAGTACTCTGCCCTGGAGTAGTCTTTTGGTCATGAGGTCTAAGGCATTATTCACCATGTCGTAAGGCATAGAGCTGGGGTGAAGGATTCTACCATGGTCTCATGGGATCAGGTCAGGACTGTATGGAAGACAAAGGAATATTTCATGGGAAGGCTATAGGAATTGGGTGAACCACAGTTGCCTCAGCCACCACGGAGTGATAAGGGCAAAGACTATCTTGTCCCTCCTGATCTTTGCAAGTACCCTCATGATCAGAGGAAAGAGGGGCAGGAGAGATGTAGAACAGTGTGCACAAATCGTGTAGGAGGAATGCATCTCCCAAGAAGCCAGCCTCTTGTCCCAACTCACAGCAAAAGTTTATGTTGTTAGGGTTCTGGTGCTCAGTTGCCACTCATGCACATTGAGGCTCATGTGACCGAGTCTGCCTGCCAGCATATTGCTTGTGCCCACCACATGGATGGTCATAAAATTGTGCCCTTGTTGATGCACCAATCCCAGATCCTGACAGCCAGTTTTGTCAGTGGGATGGAATGTGTATTTGATGCATCTGTAGTGACAGTGATTGATAAGTCTGGAAGTCAGAAGTTGGTATCTGTTGCCAAATTGTGAGGGATGGTCCCACCAACAGAGGCTAGGTAGGGAAGGGTATGTCCTGTGCAGGTTGTTCAATGTACAGAATGCGTGAATGAACCATAGTTGCAGAGGTTGATTTAGAACCTTGAGAAGGGGACAACTGCCACTGTCACAGCCATGAGCCCAAGTAGTCTTTACATCCAGTGGGCCATGATGGACATTTGGTTGCTGAGCTTGGTAGCTATCTTGATCAGCATGGACACTCTGGATAATGGGAGAAGCGCCTTCACTGAGGATGAATTGAGGCAGGCCCCTATAAGGAGGATGGACTTGGATGGGGAGAGAATGGATTTCTCATGCTTTATAGAGTCCTAGGAGCTGAAGGAGAGAGCAGGTGGTGTAGGTAGAGTGTAGTAGGTTTGCTTTAGATGGTGTGAGTAGGAGCCAGTCATCAAGGTACAGGAACACTTGTACTCCTTGGAGGCATATATATGAGTAGACCACCACCATGCATTTAGTGAAGTCCCTGGAGGCAGTCGAGAGGCTGAAGCAGAATACAGAGAATTGGAACATTTCATCTCCAACTTGGAAGCCTAAGAAGAGTCTATAGTTGTGCTCTATAGTAATGTGGGAGTAGGCATCTTCCAAGTTGATTGAGGCAAACCAGACTCCTTGCATGAGAGGCAGCCTGTTCTGAAGGGTGACTCTTCTGAACTTCCTTGGTTTGGTCAATTGATTGATGCCTCTGAAGTCTAGGATTGGTCTTGCTTCAGTACAATGTGGAGTCCCCCATCTTGCTTCAGTACTATGAAGTATTGAGATTAGAAACCTTGGGTAAGATTGGACTGAGGAACTCTATGACCTCTTTGAAAAGTGGTGATTTGACCTCCAACATTAGCACCAGGGATGGAGCCATGTTTCTTATAGCACTGAGTGGCAGGAAAGCGTCAAACTTGATCCAGTACCCTGGCTCCATAATGGATAGGACCCAGAAATCAGATGTTATCATTCCCATGTGGGGAGGAATAGAGATATCTGTCAAAAGTGGTGGAAGAGATAGAGGGGCTGGCTGGGAGGGACAGCCATTTTTGCTCTTGTCCCCTTCTGGGTGCTTGCATAATTGCTTAAAACGGACTGTGGTGTTGCATTTTCTGGTTTGGGGGCTGACTGGGGCCTGGGAGGATACTCAGTAGAGACCCTAACCTGGTATGGAGGGCAGCCACCTCTGAACCACTTACATGGCCTGTTGACTGTTGGAAAACCATGCATCTGACCATTGCCCTAGCCTTCTGTAAGGAGCCCATGCACTCGTCTATGTATGTGTTGAAGATCCCCAAAGGGGAGGTCCTCAATATGAGTGGGTCTCCTGTGGCAGCCCTGTGGATTGTAGCCAGTTATACCTCCAAATGGCCACATGCCTTTCATTGCCTTGGCATCGCAGTCCACATGGTGTCTTGCTGTGGTGATCTGCTGGCAAGCCCATTTTGTGGCCTCTGATTGGAACACTTGCGCCAGTTCCCTCTAGTTGTTGGGCAGGTGCTTGCACATAGACCCAATCTTGTCCCATAAAAAGAGCTGGTATTTGGCTATGGTGACTTCATAGTTTGAGATTCAGAAACTGAGTGCTGAAGCAGTGTAGACACACCTTGCCATCTTGCCTAGGCAGTGGCCCTCCTGGTCTACTAGCACCAAGTGCTTTCACTGAGATCAGCACTGCATGGACTTGACAAGGTTGGCCTTGGGATGCTGGAACAGCCAGTACATGGTCTTGAGTCTCTTCAAGGTGGAATGCACTGCAAAGTGGGCCTTTCACATCTGCCAGATTGCCTACAGCAGCATGAGCAGGAATGAAATCACTACCAGTGCCAAATCCTCTGAATGCAAGACACTAATGGCAGGGGTCATTACTCTGTCCTTCACCTCAGGAGGGTGAGTTTGCCCTTCTGAGGACCTGCTCAGAAAATCTGTCCACATCCCCTGATGGAGACACCGGGTCCTGTGAGGTGACAACAGTGTCAGATAATGAGATGGACAGGGCCAGCTATGCTGCTGATTCCAAACTGGGGATGTAGCTCTCTGGATCTGATGACAGAGAGGGTAAACTCTGTCTTGAGAGTCTCAGAGCCAGAGGTATTGTGGATTGCAGTTGGTGTGGTGCTGGATCCTCAAATTGGTATCAATGGGAGGAACCTTGTGGTGGAAATGTGAGGGCTGGATCTCCTTCTCAGTGCCAGCTGGCTCTGCTTTGCTGGTGGCCCCAACATCCTCTTTATACTGAGAATCATAGTTGTCCCTGTGGGACGTGAAAGAGTCCCTACTGGACTGGTGTGAGGACAATAACCAACTGGAGACCTTGCCCCATTCAATCAGAGAGAAGTAGGATCTGTCTTGGTGTCCCTCAGCCTTTGATGCTGGTGGTATCAGTCTCAGTAAAGTATGGCTGGATCGTCTTGATGCCAATGCCTCAGAAGGTGGTCATGCTAGAGGTATGGGAGGAGTGCCCTTATTTCCTCCTTGGATCCCAAAGTTCCTAGGACTGTCAGTTCCAAGGGCTCTGGCTGCTCCAGGATCAGGTCCAAATGGACTCTTGGTGTTGAGGACTGGTAAAGGACTCTCATGGCACACACATTTCTCTGGTACAGTGGCATCCATCTTTTTGGCACAATTGTCCACTTCCTTGGCCCTCCATCAAGTGGCCAAGTACTGGTGGGGCAGACACAGTTGGAGCTCTTGCTACAGTCAATGAGGGCCTAGGTGAAGCTGGCCTTTCCCTCTGTAAGGGTGCGGACCCTATTAGGACGGTCCGCCCTCGGAACCAGATAGATTCCTGAGGGCTCTGGGGGATTTTCCGGTTAATAAAGCGGGTGCTCCTGTTGATGCTCTGGTTGAGCTGTGGAATGGGGAAATGGCCAGAGCTATTGACACTATCGCCCCTAAGCATCCTCTCCTGCCAGGCAGAGCCCGTTCATCTCCATGGTATACATCTGAATTACGGGTGATGAAGCAGGTTGGGTGACAACTAGAGCACAGGTGGAGGAAATCATGGGATGAATCTGACCGAACACGCTTACGTGCTCACTATCGAGCCTACGCTGTGACAGTGAGGGCAGTGAAGAAGAAATTCTTCTCCACTTCCATTGCCTCCTCACAGTGCTGTCCAGCAAAGCTTTTTCGAGTAGTACATGGGCTAATACATCCAGGCCCCAAAAAAGATCCTGTGCCACCACTGACTGCCCACTGTGATGACTTTGTCTGGCACTTCAAGGAGAAAATCGCTCAGATTCGTCACGAGCTGGACTCCACAGCTGATACGGTTCCTTTAGGGGAGGCGCCAAGAAGTCTGTCTGGTCTAGACTTACTGGATGAATTTCAGTTAATGAGGCCTGATGATGTGGGCAAAGTACTTGGACAAGTACGTCCTACCACCTCCTTACTTGACCCTTGCCCTTCATGGCTACTTACCAAAGCCAAACACGGGATTGGTTCCTGGAACTAAGATATTATTAATGCCTCACTGAGGGAGGGCTAGGTACCCACTCCTTTAAAGGAGGTGGTAATCAGGCCTGTCCTAAAGAAGGCGTCTCTGGATCCAGAGATGGCTGCGAATTACAGACCGGTAGCCAACATCCTGTTTTTGGGCAAGGTGTTGGAACGGGTGGTGGCGGGACAACTCCAAGTACTCTTGGATGAAACTGATTATCTGGACCCGTTTCAGTCTGGTTTCAGACCCGGTTATGGTACTGAATCTGCCTTGGTTGCCCTGTATAATGACCTGTGCAGGGAAAGGGACAGGGGGAGTGCATCCCTGTTGGTACTCCTGGACCTCTCAGCAGCTTTTGATACCATCGACCATGGTATTCTTCTGGATAGGCTGACGGGATTGGGAGTAGAGGCACTGCTTGGCAATGGTTCTGCTCCTACCTTGCCGGCCAATTCCAGAAGGTGGTGCTGGGGGACTTTGGCTCTGCACCATGGCAACTCTGCCATGGAGTACCACAGGGCTCCATTTTGTCCCCCTTGCTATTCAACATCTACATGAAACCGCTGGGAGAGGTCATCAGGAGGTTTGGGCTGCAGAGTCATCAGTATGCTGATGACACCCAGCTCTACCTCTCTTTTTCAACTAATCCAGGAGAGGCAGTGGGTGTCCTGAACCAGTGCCTGGCCAAGGTAATGGGCTGGATGAGGGCCAATAAACTGAAGCTCAATCCAGAAAAGACAGAGGTCCTGTTGGTTGGTGATCTGAGCTTCTGGGTAAGTGACTTGGGCCATGCCCTGGACGGGGTTGCACTCCCTCTAAAGGACAGGGTCCACAGCTTAAGAGTGCTCCTCAACCTGGAGCTGTCCTTGGAAGCCCAGGTGACGGCGGTGGCGAGGAGCGCTTTCCTTCAGCTTTGGCTAATCTATCAGCTGTGTCCTTACCTGGAGGAGAACTGCCTAGTAACAGTGACACACGCATTGGTTACTTCCTGTTTGGATTACTGTAATGCGCTCTATATGGGGCTGCCCTTGAAGACAGTCTGGATACTTCAGATGGTGCAAAACAGAGCTTCCAGGATGCTGTTGGGGACTGGGTGTTACTCTCATATAACCCCAGTCCTCTATCAGTTCCACTGGCTTCCCATCAAAGTCCAGGCTCAATTCAAGGTGCTGGTTATAACCTATAAAGCCTTAAACGGCTTGGGACCAGGATACCTAAAGGAATGCCTTTTTCCCTACATGCCCTCCTGCCCCCTAAGATCGGCAGCAGAGGCCCTCCTCTGGGAACCCTCTTTGTAGAAGACAGAGTACTCGGAGGAGGGCCTTCTCTGCGATGGTGGCCCGACTATGGAATGTGCTCCCTAGAGAGGTCCACCTGGCGCCGTCATTATATGTTTTTCGGTGCCAGGTCAAGACCTTTTTATTTGGCCAATATTTTAATACATAGTAATTTTAATTGTGTAATGACTTATTTAATTTATTTTAAATAATGCTCAGTGTGGAATAGTTAACTTATTTTATTGAAGACTGAAATAATGTAAGCTGTCCAGAGACGACAGTAATGGACAGCCTACGATTTTTAATAAATAAATAAATAAATAAATAGGTGGGGTCAACACAGCTGAGGCGAGTGGTTAATCATACCCTGCTTGTTTTGTGGAATTGGTGGCTTGCAGGGCCATGCTCCAGAGCTTGGCCCTTAGTTAATCTGCCTTGTGTTTCCAAGCCTGTTATGTGAAGGCCTGGCAATATAGGCAGGAGTTGGCAATGTGTCCCTCACCCAGACAGAAAGGGTAAGGGAGTGACCATCCATGGGCAAGCGGGGGGAGCAGTTTGCTCCTACAGTGGATATACTTTCTGAAAGGTGCCTTTGAAGCCATCACAGTAGATGGAGAAAGCAAAGAGTGGAAAACAAGGAATGGGTTTGATAGAGGACATGAGGAAAAAGAGAAAAGTGGGTAGAATACACACACGAGGGAGGGAGGGAGGGAGGGAGGGAGGGAGAGGGATGAGGTTTGTGAAGATGGGTAAAAGTAGGCTGAGAGAGAAAATAGAGAAATAGTGGAAATAGGTAATAACATTTTGAAAATACTCAAGTTTCAGAAGAGAGAAGCACTTCTTGATCTAGGTGGTTGAAAAGGAACTAAAGGAATGGGTGGGAACACCTCCTAAGTATACCTGGAACAGGAAAGGGCGGGGCTCCTGAACAAGTGAATGCTTAGCTGTAGAGTCTTCGCAACAACAGGCTCCACACAGGTGCAGAACCCATGTGTGTGGTGCACATAGACCACAAAAAAGAACCAACTGCATGTTTACTCTGCTTTACTATACTCACAATTAGGCTTGCTCCCTAGCTTTTAGAATGTGAAGATAAAAGGAACAGGGATCTACTTTTAAAAGGAACTATACAAATATAATCAGAGATCATTTAGAAAAATACAGAAAAATTAAAAGAATTACACCAGCATCCAGAGATAACATAGGAACTACCAAAGCAGAAAAAGTGATGACTGTGATTATATAGTCCAATGAAATATATATGATAAATAAATCTTCTCCAACCTAGTGCTCTAAGATATTTTAAACTTCAATTCCTATCCCTGGCCCACATGGCTGATATCAGGTATGTTGGGAACTCGTATAGTCCAAACCATCTTGAGGGTACAAGTTAGGGATAGTTACTATAGATTAGTATTTATAGTATCAAGTCTGGCTCAGTAGTCCATTTCAACTAATTCCTTCCTAGGTATTTTGCATCCAGCTAGAGTATGGTGAAAAAAATATAGTGTTGCTAATAAAAATAACAACTCTGTGTTTAATTTTCACCTCCCTTAACACAGTTATAGGTATGCTCACAGCAGTGGTGGAGGAGGCCATATCCAACCCTCCAGGTTTCCCAGGAATTTTCCTAGCACTGTGCATTTTTCTCATTCTAAAAAGCTGAGGTGCTGCTTCTTAGTTAATGACTGTAAAACATTTTCACTTCAGGAACTGATCTTTGTTCTTGTAGTTCTGTTCCTTCTGCCTTTAATTTCAGATCTACCCACTACTAGAAGGCAGCTCCCAAGAGGTTTGAAACTGAATTTTACAGTCAGGCAGGAAGAGGTTCACCACCTTGTCTTAAAGTGACACCTCCACATTATGCACTTTTTCAACTGTATTTGTGATGAGACTTTGGTTGGTTGGTGTATGTGTGAAATATATATGTGCAGATGCTGCATAAATGTGTGAAATTTATGCAGTTCTGCATAAATGTTTCCATAAAAGTTATGAAGGGAGGAGGCAAAACCTGAAACTGGATTGCCATCTTCAGTGATTTCCCATGACAGTCAACAGAAAGCACAAAGCCTTGGTGTTCTGAACCTTGAATCAGATTTGGTACCATGCTGAAGTGGACTGACTCCAAATTGGTCCAAACAGAAGCAGCATGTTGTTCAAAGTGCCAAGGTGCCATCTGAGTTGAAGCAATTCTAAATGTGCACCAAACCAATCACATTTATTAAAGGGTGGTGGTGGTGAATTACATGTATATATCACCCTACAGCAGAAGTTCTTTGGATGGTTTACACAATCCATAAAAACAAATGATAAAAATACATTAAAATATTAGAAAATCAGAAAAAATAAGATATTTAAACAGCTAAAAACATTATAAAACAGACAACAATAAATAACAAAAGAGCGACTCTGCAAAACACCTGGTGATCCACCACAGGTTCCTGGGTGGCCGTGTCTCTAAAAGCCTCAGAAAAGAGGGCTTTCTCAATCCAGTACCAAAAAGATGAGAGATTTGGTGCCAGTGGGAGGTTGTTTCATAGGTTGGGGGGGGGGGGGCACCATTGTTGCTACCCTGTGCACTTCCTCAGAGTTGGCCCCAAAGGTTGAACGTAGTTTCCTAGTAGATCGGGGTTGAGGGAAGAACCCTGACAGATATCAAGCCACGTAGTCCTAAGCCATGTAAAGCTTGGTAGGTTAGAACCAGCACCTTGAACTTGGACCAGAAGCACAGAGACAGCCAATACATACAGGTCAGAACCAGCCTTATATGTTCAGACCTGTGGGTCCCAGTTATTGATCTGGCTGCTACATTCTATACCAACTGCAGCTTCTGAACAGTCTTCAAGGGCAGCCCCACATAGAGTTCTTGCAATAATCCTGTTTAGAGATAACTAGAGCATAGACTACAGAAGTCAGGCTATCCCTGTTCAGATAGAAGCATAGCTGGGTCTCCAGCCAAAGCTGGTAGAAGACATGCCAAACCACAACTTCTATCAAACTTGGGATTTTTTAAATTATTGGCTAGAGAAACGGGACTTGGCTTAGCATCTAAGTCAAGTCCTGTTTCTCTAGCCAATAATTAAAAAAAATCTAAGCCTTAGATTTAAAGATGTTTTTAAGTTATTATAAATGGATTTGAATATGACTATAGAATGTTAAAAAATATGAGTAGGGGACTGACCCAGTATGTCCGATGTATTTGATTATTGATGTCTTTAGTATTAGTTTAAAAATCTTAATAAAATTAAAAAAAAGAAGACACACCAAGCCACTGAGGCCACCTGAAACTCAAGTGACAAAGCTGGATCAAGGAGCACCCCCAACCTATGTACCTGCTTCTTCAGGGGGGAGTGCAAGCCTGTCTAAGAACAGGTTCAACATCCCCCACCTGGACAAAGCAACCATCCACCAACAGCATCTCAGTTTTGTCGGGACTGAGCTTCAATTTTTTTGGCCCTCATCCAATCAGTGTTGTAACCAGGCACCAGTTTAGCACCCCCACAGCCTCATCGGCTGATGATGAAAAGGCAAAATAGAGCTGCGTGTCATCAGCATCCTGATGACAATGCACTCCAAAACTCTGGATGACCCCACTCAGTACCACCTTCAGCTGATGGGCCTCCAAGGAGGTACAGATCCCCTGCTCTGCAGTGTCCCCACTCCCATTTCAGAGACTTTCTTTTGGGAGGATGGTTTCTTTGTATTTTTGATAGGCTTTTATGGCAGTTTTTTGTATTTTGATAGAATCATAGTATAATAGAATTGGAAGGTGCCAGAGGGGCCAGCTCCCTGCCAGAGCAGAATTCCAAGTAATCCCTCTCAGACTGCTGTTCAGCTCTATCCTGAATGCCTCCAGTGTAGGGCAGCCCAAAACCTTCCTAGGTAATGTGTTCCATTGTCATACTGTTCTAACAGTCAAGAAGTTCTTCCTGATGTTCAGCCAGAATCTGGCTTCCTGTGTGTTACTCTGTGTCCTGCATTCTGAGATGATCAAGAAGAGATACTGCCCTTGCTCTTTCTGACAATCTTTCACAAACTTGAAGAATGCTATTATACCTCCCCTCAGTCTTCTTGATGCTCTATACATCCAGTTCTTTCCATCTGTTCCCATACAGCTTTTTTTCCAAGCCCCAGATCATTCCTGTTTCCCTCCTCAGAACTCTTTCCAGCTTCTCTGCATCTTTCTTAAACTGTGGTGCTCAGAATGGAATGCAGCACTCAAGATGAGGCCAAACAAGTGCTGAGTAAAAAGGAACCAGTACCTCATATGATTTGGAAGTGTTACTTCTAATAATTTGCCCTTTTTGCAGCCACATCACATTGTTGACTCATATTCAGTTTGTGATCTACAATAATTCCAAGCTCCTTCTCAGTTGTAGTATTGCTGAGTCAAGTATTCCCCATTTTGTAATGATGCATTTGATTCCTTTTCCCTACAGGCAGAACTTGGCATTTGTCACTGTTGAATTTCATTCTGTTGCTTTCAGCCCAGCATTTCATCCTATCAAGATCACCCTGAATCTTGTTTCTGTCTTCCAGGGTATTAGCTATCCCACCCAGTTGTGAGTTATCTGCAAATATGATCACCATCCCCTGCACTTCCTTATCCAAATCAATAATTAAATGTTGAAGAGCACTGCCCTAAGGACTGAACCCAGTGAAATCCTGCTTGTTACCTCTCACCAGTTTGAGAAGTTGCCACTGATGAGCATGACTCTGTAGCCAACTGTGGCTCCACCTAACAGTTGTTCCATTTAGCCCACTTTTAGCTAGTTTGCTAATCAGGACATCATGGGGCACACTTAATCAAAAGCTTTGCTAAAGTCAAGATATGCTATGTCCACAGCAATCACACAGTCTACCAGGGACATAATCCAATCAAAAAAACTGAAATCAAATTAATCTAGCAGAATTTGTTCTTGACATATCAATGATGGCTTCTAGTAATCACTTCATTGCTTTAAAGGTGTTTGCAGAGTGCTTGATAATCTGCTCCAGAATTTTCCCAGGGATGGATGTCAGACTGGCTGGTCTATAGTTCCCAGGTTTTATTTTCCTTTCTTGAAGCTTGGGATAACATTACTCAATCTCCAGCCATCTGGCACTTCCCCTGTCATACATGATTTCTCAAAGATAAGAGGCAGTGGTTTTAAAAGTTCTTCTGCCAGCTCCTCCTGCCAGCCCAGGATTTGGGAACAGAAGACTGAAGTGAGGATATGGTGTATGAAAATCCCTTTCAGGGTAAAAGAAAAAAAAAAAAAAACCGGGACAGAGGATAGATTTTAAAGAAAAACTATCCAAGGAGATTTGGGAAAAGAAGCCAGGGACTGGCTATTTAAAATGAGAGGGAAAACAGTGGCTAATACTATGGAACAAGATGCTTATGAAGGAGCAAGCAAACACATGGGCTTGGAACTGAGAAACCCCCTTGAAAAATATAATGAAAGTTATGTATAAAAGTGCAAGTGCAGTATTGGAAAAGCCAATATTGATAATACAGTAAAACAGTTACAGATAATAATACTGTTACTGCATGATAGTCTAGGAGCAGCATACAGAATTTGGAAGGAAGAATGTACTAAAAGAGAAGTTTTAGAAGAAGGGATGAACAACTTGGAAATACACAGATTGTGCAGGGAATTGATGCTCTGTGCTGACTTCCAGAAAGGGGAGTTAGGAATTATTAGAGTATATTGCCAGTATATGACTAAGGGAATTAAAGAGATGGTACCTCAGTCTCTAAAAATGTACAGAGGACTCTGTTTTTGGAACAAAAAGAAAGGTGAAACTGCATCTGAGGGGCTGGGGAGACTGAAGGAACAGATGGGCAGAGATATGGATAGAAATATGGATTCACAAAATCCAGCACATCAGATACTGCTGAAGTATCAGTCTTAAGGGAGGTAGGATAGGACTGAACAGAAATTGGATAGATGGGAAGTTAGGACGTTAGAAGATTTGTTGAGGAAGGTTCGGAAAGTGAATGCTAGGAGAGAGAAGGAAAAAGTAGGTGAGAGGTAACCTGGTCAAAACTAAAGTGTTTTGAACTTGCTCAGGTAAAAACATGTGCAAAAGGATGCTGCAAGTGAAGGTAAAGGCAAGTGAGCAGATGGGTTGTGTCTAGAAAGAAAAAGGGTGGGGGGCAGAAGGCCTTGTGGGCAGAGTAGTTCTGGGCGCAGACATTGCATTTTCCCTTACACATGAGGACTGCTGTTAGAAATCCACCTTGTCAGGAAGGTAATAAATATATTTTTGGGTTTCAATGGCCTGGTTTGATTCCTCCCTGTTTGAACATGCAACTGCTTGGAATGCGGTGTTGGACTAAAACGCAATGAGAATGTTTTGTGGTTTGGGTGTGTGTGTGCACATGCGCACATGCATGCACCAGTGGGGGCGGGGGGTGTCTTTCTTCCAAATCTCTTATGAGGCTACTTTTCCCTGTGAGTTCAACAAGAGGTTTGTTCCCTTTTCTTCTTTTGCAATGTTGCCAAATATTTTTGATCTGACCCCAAATTTCACAAGGAAAGGGAACTGTCAGGTGTATTTTGTACCACCAACAGGAATAATAATTGCTGGTGCTAAAGAGAATTTTCCTTACAGTAGCCTAATGTTTGTTGGGGGCTGAGCAAAATTGCTAGCCCAAGTATGTGGGCAAAGGCAAAACGCTTTTCTAGAATTTCTCTTTCTGTGAGCATAAGCACTCATGTTCATCATAATGCACAAACATTGTTTGGTGTGCTAGTTCAGGTTTGTATATATTCACAAGGGATTGGGGCATTTTTGTATCTATGTATGTGGGAGAGTGCCATCTCTGTAAATAAGAAATTGGGTGATACCACATACTCATTGTACAAACTCCATCAGAAAGCACATTTTTGCTTTAGCCGAGACAAGCAGTAGGTTTGTGAAACACACAAGTTCAACAAAGAGTTTCTTTTGTGTGCATTTTTGGCATTGGCTGGATTTGATTTCAACATCTCAAACATTTTTCTTGAGACTGTGAAAAATGGTTCAGAAGATAGCAGGGGTGAAGAACCTATTACCCTACAACCACCATACATAGATGGGTGCTGTTAAGATGGTACTTGCCCAGAGAACCCGGATTGTTCTCCATTAGGGACAAGACCTAGTGCCATAATAAAAGCTAAAAAGATTAAACCAGTGGCAGCATACCACGGAACAGCGACCACTTATGAGGGAGATAGGCTTCAGGAGATCAGGCATAGAACAGTAACAGAAGAAGCAATTACGAATAAAGAATTGTGGGAAATTGCTCAGGAGGTGGGGCAACCAAAAGGGACACCCGTAGCGTGGGCGACAAGATCTTGGGCAGCAAGAGACAGATTTGATATGAATGAAGAGGTAGCCGGACAATTTGGTAGATTCTTCCCGGACTTCCAGGAACATATAGATACCATAGGGACACACAGCGTCCCATATGCTTTAAGAGAGTTCTGTGTGAGTACAGGATCAGGCAAGGCAAAAAGAGAAGTGATGACATGGGAACAAAAACCTGGAGAAGGTGCCATTGAATTCTTTCTAAAATATTACACAGGAACATATCTATCAGGCATGTGACAACCAGAAACAGAAAGGGATTGTGAAGTAGTGAGGCCTGCAAAGGAAGCAGAGGGGGATCAGGCCGCCCAGGAAGCAAGGGTAGAACATATACGAGGAATGCCTTATATGGGCACAACAGATGAGTTACCTGACTTTATAGAGTATGCAGGATTAATCATGGGATTGGATGCATTAGCACCAGAGTGGAGAAGAGCAGTAGGAATACAACCAGTGGGGTGGCAGGAAGATTGGCATGCAATGAAGAGAGTATTAAAGGAAGCTAGGAAACAGGTTTCTTGGGGGAAAGAAAAGCAGTGAAGGAGATGGTGTGAAAAAAGGCAGAGCTGTTATAAGATGAATGGCAACAGGGGGAGCCAGAGGTAGTGCCAGAGGAAGTGCCAGAGAAAGAGGAATAGTAGGTAGCAGAGACTTGGGAAGAGGAACAGGCTGATACTAAGGTAAGACCAACAATTAGCTTCCCGAGGAAGCCAGGAGGGAGACAGGATGTGTGGGAGCAAGTGAAAGCAAGAGGGCATAATATGGAGACTTTGGATGGGCTCCCCACAAATATCCTAATACAAATATTGGGAAATGAGATGAAAATTGAGCAGGGAAGGAAACAAGGGCCCTCAGCCCCCTGTTATCTGTAATAGAGACAAAACAAATTCAGAAAATGCAAAGCGGAGGAGAAAAAGTACCTCTGGAAGGAGACAGAGCAATTGAAACTTAAACAACAGGAAATGGAAGAACAGCAGCAGGAGCAGCAATAGGGCTGCCCCACTGACAATACATCAACAAAGTACTTAAACCCAGGGAAATGGCAGTATAGGGGAAAATTAATCAAGGATCTGGGCAGTGATAGGATGTATGGAATTGGAACAGACAGAAAAGCAATAAGCTGTAAAATTATGGCAGTCTAAACAAGGGGAGCTATTTTATATTCATCCTCATTGGACAAATCTAACTATTGGGATATTGAAGGAAAGGAAACAATATCGGAAGAGCATTAGGGAGGAAATGGAAAACATTAAGTTGAAATCTGCAGTGGAAGCAGAAATGATTCCGATTGGAGAACAAGTGGGATATTTGAATTAGGACCAAAAGAGTATAATTTATGGCCCAAATGGAGGGGACCATTTGTAGAATTGGACAATATTTATCCAACTTCACATTTGATTCAACTAGAGGGGGACAAAAGAAAATGGGTACACAGAAATCAAATAAAACTGTGGAAAGCAGCGCATGCATAACTATTTCTCTTATTTATAGGTTTAGTTAATAGACCTCATTTTGTTATAGCTAGTGTTGCTGTCGTGCCTATTTTATCTGTCTCTGTGTTTTTGTTCATGTGTCTAACAAAAGAAGCGGTGCCGAAGATGCTGTGGATTATTGGAGCTTTTTTTAACTCCTCAGGAGTTAGTATAAATGAGGAAATGACTGGTATGAAATTGGAAATATCCTCTTATCAATGGAAATATCTGAGAACAAAAACACCCTTGCCAGGTAGACAAAAAGAGTGTTTGTGCACAAACAACAAATTTAAAAATGGGACAGTAAAAACATGGGGAAGGATACATGCAAGATATTATTGGTTTAGGAAAATGAATAAAACTAATGGGAATAGACAATTAATGATTGAGTTGTATAACGCAATGGACACGCGTGATAAAAGAGAATTAATAATAAAACAAGGTACAGCAAAAAGGGCGTGCATTACAGGAGATCAAAGTACTCAAATGATGTTAGATTTGTTGAACACATGGATAAAGTGAAAAACATATTGGAAAATACAGGGCAACATAGGGAGACTATCAAGGAGTGCTCCTGAAATAAGTACAACAACAACAAACACAAAAATAGTAACAATGGAAGATACAGAAGGGAAATACAGGACGATTAACAAGTTAGTGAAATCGACTACTAATAAAACATACAGAGACAAGTTATCAGAGTGGGAATATCTGAAATACAGAATGTCTGGGTTCCGTTCAAATTGCAAATTGTGTTAATAATACACTAAATGGGGGGAAAACAGTATTATGGTATTGTGGAGGTGTATTTATGGGAGGATACCAACCTGGAAAATATCAAGGACGATTATTATTTCCAATTTACAAAAATGATACATGGGTGACTAGAACCTCATATCTTACCTCAATTTGGTATAAAGGATTTTGTATTAAAGGTTTACCAGACATTAGGATAAAGGAATGGTGCAAAGAATTAAATAGCCAAACTAGGTGTGACAATACATGTCACTTAAATTTCACCTGCAGTAATGCTGAGATACAATTTTATGTAATGCAGGGAATCCTAAGAAATACTATGGACGGGCTGTGTGAGAATGAGAAGAAAGTGAAAGATCTTTAGTATATGGAATATACTTGTTAACAAATGGAACGGATAAATCAATAAATAAAACAGTTCCCTCCCTAGTATTTCAATGGCATACACCACAGAAGATTGTGTTTAGCCTAAGAATACATAAATGGAACTTGTATATTAACATGACTTTGTTTATTGTTACAAAATTAAAACCTATATGTAAGGACTGGACATTAGCCATGTACAATTTAATGAGAGCCAAACAAGATATATGGAAGAGAACAAGGAGAGATCTTTTAGACACCATATTAGGAGGCATTGGAATAGGGGTGGGGGTCGCCAATTCTTGGGATATAGAGAAAGCTGCAAATAAATTATCAACATTGGGAAGATTACAATGGAAAGTACTAAAAATGATGGGAGATGATTTTGAAAACAGTTATAAATTACATGCAATGTCTGCAGGCCTACATGAAGAAACTTTTAACCATCTAAATGAAATCTTTGCAATAAAGGATTTGTTTAAGTAGACATATGCAAGAGTGGGAATGGCTTTCTCTTGTATTACACATTACAAGTACTCATACATATAAGAGAACATATGGAAATGGCATTAATAGGGAAACATGAGACTATGCTTGTCCATATAGCAGGATGGAACGCGCTTTACGTGGGGCTTCCCCTGAAGACGGTCCGAACACTTCAACTGGTGCAAAATAGAGCTGCCAGGTTGCTGACGGGGACGGGGCGTTATGCTCACATGACTCCAGTCCTCCGTCAGCTTCACTGGCTTCCCATTGAAGCCCAGGCCCAATTCAAGGTGTTGATTATGACCTATAAAGCCCTAAACGGTTTGGGTCCTGGCTACCTGAACGAGCGCTTACGTCTGTATATGCCCGACCGCCCTTTGAGATCTGCGGGAGAGACGCTTCTCCGGGAACCCTCCATGAAAGAAATTAGGAGAGTAAGTACTCGGAGGAGGGCTTTCTCTGCGGTGGCGCCCAACCTATGGAATTCACTCCCCAAAGAGGTCCGCCTGGCACCGTC